AGGTGAAATCTGCGGTGACGAGGGCCCTAACGAAGGAGCACTGAACCCTAACCCTATGCTATTGACGATATATCGAAGGGCAAGAAAAGGGGCCGCGGGAAGTGGTAATCGGTTTTGACTTTGTTTTTACCGAACTTTTCTTGCAGTCGACGTGGAGATGGACGAGGAGGGGAACGTCATCGAGAAGGGCGGCGGCGATGAGGATGAGGGTGATGAAGAAGACGAGGAGGCCGCGCCGGCGATCCCGGCTGTAGCCGGCGGAGGTATCGGTTTGGTTCTTTAGAATTTTTTTTTTCAGGAATTCTAAATTCTTAAAAGTTCTGTGCAAGTCGTAGCCACTATTTTAATAGTGTTTTAAGTAAAATGATATCTTTTTCAGACCAAAAGATTATTTAGAAAACTTTCGAAACTGGCTAAAAAATTTTAAGTTTTGGTATTTTTATTTTATTTTCCTAATTCACAATACTTTCATAATTTTTATATTTTCCAGTAAGAAACATAACATTTATAAAAATGGCAAATAAATTGCGGTAGGAAGGTGGAAATTGTGGCTGGATTGTAAAGTAGATTTTGGCCCTGAATCGTCCATTTCTAGGCGGAAGCGGTTGGCGTGGCGGGAGCAGGCGCGGAGGCGCAACCGGAGGCGGCCGTGGCGGCGGAGCGGCTCGCGGAGGACGCGGCGCCAAGAAATGATCAACACCGCTTCCGCGTTTCCCATCCTTTTCTTTTCATCTCCATTAAATCTGTCCCTACCCAATTGCATCACCTACCGTACCCCCCATTTTCCGGTTTTTTTCCATGCGTGTACCCAATTCTCCCGGTATCTCTGCTCCCGAATCGATATCCCAGTCCATTCGCCCTTTTTTCCGGGTAATACTGTAATTTCGATTTCCATTTCTTTTTGTCACATGCCCCTTTGCCCGTCTATCTCTACCGTACCTCGCCTTTATCGTGTGTATTTTGGGTACCCCACTCTGCTTCGATCCTCATCCATCCCGGAAGTCTCTCTCATGTTCACCCAGTTGGAGATTCGAATGAACATTTTATAATCGGACGGCTTGATGTGGGAAAGTACACTTACGAGGAGACGTTTTTGTTTCGAAATGTGATCACGCCTATTACGTGTAAAATTTTTCGCTGATTAAAAACTAGTTTTCAGAATCTGCGAAACGACGACATTAGTTTCCTAGATTTTGAAAGTACCTTTTGGTCAGCAAAAAAAAGCAACAGCTGCGTGGGGTTTCGGAATTAACACAATCGACCACAACCGCCGTGCTTTTTGAAACATCCCCCTGATGGCCTGTATCTGTTTTCGAAAGTGCGCGTGGCTCTCCACTCGAATGGATGTTGGCAGCATTTCACGCAAAAGCCATTAGCGTGGCCAAAACATGACCGGACGATCAATCATTTCATGGTATTTGCCAGCCCGCGGGTGAAGCGCTAATGGATTTGCACGATTTATCGTGCAAGGCGGGGCTTTTCGGGGAAAATGTCGCGTCCCGAAAAAGGCCCTGGGAACATCGCGTCCGCCCTCATTTTATCTGGTCAGCAAAAAGCGGTGCTCGAATAGTTTTTATCTCAAAAGCGTTAGAATTTCGGAGGTATAGTTCTAAACTTCGGTGGCCACAAGGGCGCTAAAAAAATCTTGTCCAGAACAGCCTAGAAGCAAGTTTTCTGAGCTAGTTTTGTCCCCTGAATTCGGATTTTGCACTTTTAGACTATAAAAACTTGATATTAGGCGTCAAGAACTTATCCTTAGAAGTTTTCGCAAAAAGAGAGGAATTCTCGTGGCAACAAAGTGCTAAATTCCTTTAAAACTCTGAAAAATGCCACAAAATGGGGAACAACAAAAAGCTGCTGGCTAATTAAAATCTTAACAAACTTGGGACTGTTTTAGATTACAGGTCAGGTCTACAGATTAATTTCAAGAAAATGGATCATAATACCGAAATTTATTTATAAGCCGAAACGGCTAAAAACGAGTCTGTCCCTTTTAATAAGGTGCCAGCAACTTTTGGTTGATCCCACATTTTGTGGCATTTTTCAGAGTTTTAAAGGAATTTAGCACTTTTTGTTGCCACGAGAATTCCTCTCTTTTTGCGAAAACCAAAAGCGCTTTTTTGAAAAGACTCTTTTTAGCCTTAGAGAGAATTTAGCCCTTTTGCCTCAATTTTGTTGTTAAGATCATAGAATAAGTCATGGGATATTTATTCAGATGAACCCTTGTACGCAATACTTCAAAAAAATTTGCCTGCGGCGCTTTGTAACGGTACTAAAAACCTCAACGATGCATTCGCGCCAATCGGCAAAAACCATGTTGCCGGCGGGGTTCGAACCCGGGAGCCAAGTCTTCCCAGTACAGCGTGCTAACCACTAGGCCAACGGGGAGACTGGAGCCTTGTCTTGGGGAAGCTAGACCCGCCCGCCCTGACCCGGGACTGGGGCCGGGAAAGGGGAGGGTGCCGCCCCGTATAGCGAAGGTTTAAAGTTATCATATCTCAGAGAAGAAGCATTCTTTCGATGCAATTTCTTCTTTACTTATTCCGGCATGGTCTAATGCATATTTGAGCACAATTTCAGCCCAAACGGACATCACTAACCCTTGTTTTGGCCGCAATTTAGCTTCTAAACTTAAAAATTCAATATAAATTTTTTAAAAGCCTATTTTGAAAAAAACGCTTCTTCCTCACCTTCATTTACATCAAGTCGATATATGTGGAAAATTTCAGCCCAAACGGACCATGGGAAGGCATTTTTTGACGACTACAAAGGTTTTGCGTACGCACACACACACATACAAACGCAGACCCCCCCCCCTCGAAACGCAATTTAAATCGGCTGTTAAAATTCGAAATTTAACTTTTTTTCAATTTTTAAAAGCTTCTAGTATGCAAAAAGTGTCGCCGGTTCCGATGGTGTATTCAGTTTCGCGATCCGATGCATGGTTCTTTTTTAAATCCGGAAAAGGACCCCAAAAGAGTCGTATGGGGGGGTACCTCAAACCAAAAGGGGTTAGCGGGCTACGCCCGCTACCCCCGATAAAAACAGCAAAAAGTCACGGTCGCGAAAGTACGCGGAAAAATGTTGCCGGAGCGGTTTTTTTTGTAGTTTACAGTATAAGTTTTTTGTAGTTTTCTTGTAGAAAAAGGCGAAATTTGAACTCAGCGCCAGAATTCTTTCTAGCTCTCGATTTTCAAGAATCGCTAGTTTCTAGAAACCAGCCCGCTAAAACTTGCTTTTTAAATAGACGGATCCAAACCTGGTTTTTACAACTTTTGACGTATTTTTTCCTAGGCTTCTAGCATAAATTTTGATGGGTTTTTTTAACAAAATCGCAATTTTCTCGATTGAACTTAGCTTTCTGCCTTATTTATTGGCTGCTACCAAATAACGTAAAAGCGCAGGAGGAAAAGATGGTTTTTATAGAGGATCTCGTCGCTGATTCGATTTATCGCTCGTTTCGTTTTCCCGATCTAGTCTTTCTCCGAAAATTGTCATGTTTCTAGGGAACGGCTCGCCATGATGATGCCCGCCGAGCCGGCTGGTGGTGACCAAGAACTGTACTATGTCAAGAACTACGTCCTGGATTCTGAAGGTATCTACGGTTTATTTTTGTTAATTGTAAGTACATTTTCAGGCCCCGAAAATGAAGCCGACGACTCCGAGTTTGAGTTCAGCGACTCTGAGGACCAGGAAGGATCCGGTAAACAGCAGACTAAGAAATCTTTATAGGTAATTGATTTTTAGACGACAATTATCGCATGTCGCTCGATCGTCCAGCCGGCCGAAATGGTAAGGATGCTTCGACGTCCTTGATGCTTCAAAAACTTACAAGGAGGCGCTTTTCGTGTCCTCGAAGTTTTCGTAACCCTTCCCTAAAGTCTATTTTTTTGGTAGTTTTTTTCGCTGATTAAAATTCACTTTTTGAAACCACCGAAAAGACCGGGTTAAAAAAGTTAGAAAGCTTATGAATTGAAACAGTTCCCAAATTCGGCCCTGTGGCTTTGCGAAACCAAGCTTTTTTGTTTAAGCCTAGAACTGTTTAGTTACCCAATAGGAAGCCTTTTAAAAGTGTTTTTAGATTTCAATTACAAAAATATCCAACAACTTTAAAAATGTTTTAAAAAGTCAGAATTCGGTTGTTGTGGTCGAAAACTCGATATTTTTGATATTGTTAACCAAAAAGTTCTAAAGTTTGCACATCCTATCCTATAAGCGAGAAAAGTATGTGTGTTTTCTGTACAGCCGATTTCTCGGCCGTCAGGCCGAATTTCGAGCTGATTTTTGGTATGGAGGTGGAGAAAGACATTTGTCAGTGATGCATTTTTTTGTTTTGCGAAATCCCTTCATTTAATAATTTTATAAGCAAAAAAGTAAAAAACCCTTAACAAAAAGGGTTTTTGCCGCGTTGTCCGGGAGTTTTCTCGGCCCCTAGAGGGAATTGGGGCCTCATTTTTCGGGGGTAGTTCGGAAATGTATTTCCCCAGATAAATTTTTTCGGATTTTGCAAAATTCTTTAAAATAAAGTTTTTAAAAGGATTTTTCTGAAAGGTCCGTAATAAATCGCGTTACGGGCCGTGGTGTCCGGGCCATAGCTCATTACACATGGCGATTTTGGACCTGTATTTTTGACCACTGATGCATTTAATGGCGAGGATCACGCGCATCTTATTATTTTCACAAAATTCCACCTCAAAAGTTGAATTTGTAAAGTGTCTGCCTGTCGGAGGTCCTGGGGGCTGCCCATTCCTTTTAGCACAGCCCGATTCTGCCCCCAGGGTATGAAGAGGCCTTTACCGCGGCCCGTTCCAAGCTCCCCTGTGGTGTAGTGGATCAAGGTTGGGGCTCCGGCATTGAGGGTCGCGGGTTCGGATCCGCGAGAAAATTGTCTTTTTGCTTTTTGGTCGTTCAGCAACAAAACATATTTCTAGGCTTTCCGTGTGCGCGATTTACTCCTGGCCTTCGCTCTAGCGCCGCTGGCTCAAGAAAAGGTTTTTGGGCCAGGATCTCGCGCCGCAGGTAAAGGATGGGTCACTGCAGGCCAGCGCCGCGAAGAGAAGGTGCTAAACACGCTCTCGCGCGCGGCGAAAGCCGGGAGAAAAGCAGTAGCTAGCGCCGGGGCTCAGGATTGCAGCGCAGCGCTGGCTCTGGCGCTGAAATCAAAGTGGGCTGACTCAGGTTCTTGCACCGCAGGCTAAAAAATAGCTATTCAAATTCATGGTTCCTGGACGGGGACCAGTGGAAAAGGGCCGCGAAGCGGTCTTTTTCCACTGGTTTAGGAATGGTAGAAAACCGCTTAGAAACACTTCTACTTGTTATTATTAAAAGTTTGAGTCCCCTCGATAATGCGAAAGAACCTCGTTTCGAACCTTATTGTTAGACAAAAAAGCTAACGTCCGAGTATCGGTTGACAAAGACGCGACGCTGCCGAAGCACTGTGGACTCGACAAGTGCCCCGCCCGCGGCGCTGCCCGTACCAAGGAGACCTCCGCTTCAGGGTCTGCAAGGAGTGCGGCTTGCGCAATCGGAAAATATCGTTGCCCTTTTTAATAAATAATTCACCCTTCTAGATCCACCGAGAAGATTGCGAGCGTGAGCGACAACAAACGCGTCGAGCGGATTCGACGAAAATGACAACGACGATATGACCGCTATAAGGGCCCGGCCGCACGGGTTCCGCGTCGTTACAGCCAGAGGAGCTTTTTGGGCTGCAGGTGCAAATCGGCGAGGGCATCCAGGTAATGTTTTTGAACGACCTTAAAGTCTTTTTTAGCGCATCGCCGGCCAGAAGACGAAGATTAGCAGCCCGCGCATCGGTGACCAGTTCTTCCCGAAGCGCGTCGGCCCACACGGGTAATTTTCGGGGCCTTCGCATTATCGTGGTGGTATCAAACTTTTCCGTAGAATCGTTAATCAAAGTTGAAGATAGTATTGGTAGAGTATTAGCTAGTATAGAAAGATTTCCATCTATTTTTCTACCCCTAAACGTGAATGCTGATGAATTTCGTTAAATAAACCAGATTTTTTTCTCAGGATCAAATTTTTTAATCGAGGATTTTCGACCAAAAATGGCCGATTTTTGATGAACCACTCAAACTTTTAAAAAATCTGATACAAACAATATATTGTAAGTTACTTTATAAGTTTTTTTGGTAAGTTTTCCTAGTCATAGTTATATTTTACTGAAAACTCTATTAAAACACGGCCTATTAAGTTGTTAGACATTTCAAGACTTTGACAAAAAGTTGGATACCCGCAATAATGCAAAAGTGCCTAATTTTGTATGGCCTTCCTTTCGCGAAGAATCTCGGGTTTTGCAGCAGTTTCGACGACCTGCCTCTGTCCGGTGGTTTGCATGAAAACATCCGCATGGCCGGCTTTACCATGCCCACCCCGATAGAGTACTTTGGCCTGCAGAAGATGCTCGAGGTCGACGACAAAACTGGTGACTGGGCCCACAAGGATATGGTCATGTCCTGCCAGACGGGAGCCGGTCGGTCTTTATTAGCGAAATTGAAACATGGATTTTAGGCAAAACCACCACCTACGTGCTCGGCATCATCGAGATGCTGAATCGCAAGGATTCAATGGTCCCGCTTCAGGTAGAGATTTTCAAAATATTGCGGATTCTTATTTGTCAGTGCGCCAAGAAGTGCCAGCCGCGCGCCATCATCCTCGCCACCAACCACGAGCTGGCCGAGCAGATTGCCAATGAGGTATACAAAATTGGTATTACCTATTTAAACGAACGACGCCTTTTCCAAACATTTTCTAACTTTTTTAAAAGTTCTACTAAAATATAGTTAAAAGGTGCTCAAAAGACCGACATTTTTATATAAATCTAGAGGTGTCTAGTAACTTAGTAGGAAATGTTTTGCATGGTGTTTTTAACTATATAACTATATTTTCAACTCGAAAACTCTAGAAATTTTCAAAAGGGCGAAATCTTGGTAAAAAACCCGCCATTTTTGTCGAAAAATCAATATTTTTTTGATAAAAATTTGTCAAGTTCTGAAATGTCTAGTAACGTAATAGCAAGTGTATTGTATTAGTAATAGTGTTTTAATAAAGATCATTATATTTCAAATACAAAAACCGTTTTGAAAAAGTCGAACTTTTGGTCGCAAAATCGTTAATTTTTATATTTTTAATAAAATGGAACATTTTAATTTTCACATTTAGGAATAGTATAAACGTTTTCAATTCTGTAATTAAAAAAATAGATTAGATACTAAGGAAAATTACTGCTTTAGGCGAAGAAGTTTGCCTACGACAGCGGCCTGAAAATCCACGCGCTCTACGGCGGCACCTTCGTCAACGATTCGATTGAGCGCCTGGAGCCAGTAATTTGAAGCATTAAAAGCGTCTATCTCTTGCAGGACAGCGACATTGTCGTGGCCACAATCGGCCGTCTGGGCCAATGGATCAAAAATCGGCTCCTTAGCACGGAACGCCTCGAATTCCTGGCCGTCGACGAGTTCCACGAGTTTGTCGATTGGCACAATGAGCCGAGGACGACGTCGGACTTCAACGTCGCGCTGCGAATGATGGGAAATTTTATGCCCAGCTCGCAACGGGCCTACCGCTGCTTTTTGACGTCGGCGGCGATGAATCAGCGTCTACGTGAAGTGGGCATTGATCTGCTGAGCGTGGGTTTTTCGGTATTGATTTGGGCTTATTTTCATTATGTCGACATTTTCAGTCGTCGAAATTTCACGGCCTTTTTCGCCTCGATTATTCAGGGCAAAATTTCGCAGATTGACATTGAAGCGCATTGAAATTTCGGCAAAATGATATTTCGAAAAAATGATGTTCAACAAAATGGTATTTCGACAAATTTTGATGACTCATAATGCCAAAGTTTCGTAATGTCGAAATTTTTGGGGGTCGAAATTTTCTGCTTAGAATTTGGGGTCTTCCGGGAGATTTGCGTTTGTAATTTTAGAATTTCGACATTTCGACATTCTGAAATTTCGACATAATGTTTCCCAAATTTTTAAAGCGACCCTTCGGTACTGGACTGTTAGCGGGGGCGAGAGTAGCTTATTTTGGCCCTGGCCTACAGTACTGAAACAGCATGTATAGCTTTTCCCCCTGTTTTTCTAAGGAAAAGGTTCTGAGAAGATCAATAAGATTTTTTTCGAAATTTTGATTTCGTGTCGAAAAAATTACATTCTACGTATTTTGGGTGTTTTAGAAACTACGAAATACAAAATTTTTGCGAGGTTGATATAAGCTATAGAACTTTTACCCTAAAAGTTTTTATGAGGTTTTTATAGCCAAAAACTGTGTGCCCTGCTTTAAAAATGGTCTATGCTTTATTAAGGGCGTTCGGGATTACTGAGAAAAATTTTACCGTCTTTCTTGACATCCTTTATACCTCCATTTTCCAGATTGAGGACTTTGTCACGGTGCGCGACGTTGACGGTTCAGAGAATCTGGTTGCAGTTCGCGGGGAACAGGCATCCTTTCATCTTGTGCTGCACTTATTATTTTTCTTCAGGTTCAAAACGTGATCTCGGTGGCCGTCGGCATCGACATGACCGCCAGCCGGCTGATCAAGCAGGTAGCCGCCGGTTTTTGGTCGTTTTTGGCGTGCGGTACTGATGCATTATCGGGGGGACCAACTTAAACGTCAAAAATGTTCAAATTTTTATTACGAGAAAATCAAAAGAATCGATTTTTCGACGAAAAAGCCCGATTTTAACGACAATCGATTGAATTGATCGACATCATCGATCGACAATCGATTGAAAACAAATCGATTTCAAATTCAGAATAGATCTATCAATTTATATTTTAGATCTAAGTTTTCCGTATGTGTTTTCACTTGAGATGTGATTAAAATAGGATTTTTTACTAGACCTAAATGGGGTTTTAGAAAGAGATACCCACCCCCCCCCCCGGTAATACGAAAGTACCGACTTGTTTCAGGAGTTCATCGATATGCGTCTGGCACCCATTGAAAGGAAGCGAGAGGCCCTCCAAAGGCTGCTCAACAGGCAATTCCGGTGCGCTGATCGCTTTTTTGGTTGCAATTTTGGAAATGAAATGTTGTGCATTAAAAAACGATTATTTTTCAGCATCAACGCACACTCGCCGCGCGGGCCTGACAATTTGTTTACGCTGGAGCACATGACGGACGGTGCGTAGTTGAACGGACTTTTGGTTCTTTGGCATTATCGGGGGAGGGGGGATTTTTGTATGAGGTTAGAAATGCCTAGTGACTGAATAGAAAATATTTTAACAGTCTTATTAGTCAAATATAGAGCCATATTTCAATTACAAAGACGATCTAAAAACTTTCAAAAAAAAACTCGAAACCTTTTAAAATAAGAAAAAGATTTTTTTTGTGAGCTTTTTATAGCTAAAACTGTGTGAAATCCGATAAAATGATTTATATTTAATTGTAGGGCTGCTCGGGTGGCAAAAATTATCCCCCCCCCCTGCTAACAGTCCGGTACCGTCGATAACGGTTTGAAAAAGGCGCGGAAAAAAAGTTTTTTAGCCCATATTCAATTGTTTTTTTTTGCGGAATTTGAGTAAACAAAAAAAGGAGTATTGAGTCAGGTTTTCCGGCTAAAAATCAATTTCCAGGCGCGACCATAAAAGTCAATAATTCCAGTGCGCAACTCTTTTGGAGCCGGTTTTTCATCGTCCATTTTAGAGGGCGGCTTGAAGCAGAAGGCGCTGATTTTTGCCAATGTCAAGAAACATATCAACGGGCTGGTCAACGACATCATGCGCATGGGCTTCGATTGCCGCGGCTTCCATTCGAACCTTTCCGAAGAGGACCGCGCCCAGAACTACAAGGACTTCTCGGATGGCAGGTAGTGGCATTCATTTTTCAAAAATTAATTTGTTCAGGATTCCGGTGCTCGTCGCCACCAACATGGCGGCCAACGGCTTGGACTTTGGGGCTCGTGGCGTGCAGCACGTCATCAACTATCAGCTGCCCTCGGATATTTTGTATGTTTTTTTTTGGCACGTTTTGGCGTTCGATTCTAAGGTGGAAGGTCTTTGGTCTAAATACTGAAAAGAAAGGCCGTTTATATAGCTTTTTACGCCATTCATAACCAGTTATAAAATTTTTGCTCCTCTTTAAAAAATTGTAAAAAGATTTTTGTTTTTCATTTTTTAAGCATTGTTATAAATAAAAAAAAATTTAAAATATTAATTTAAAAAGTATTTGGATAGTTTGTACATTTTTATATTTATCGCAAAATGTCCTTAAAAATATTAAAACCATTGAAAATTACTGAAGAGGTTTTTGGGTTACCTATCCTTTCCCGCTACCAGTCCTCTACCCCCCCCCTCTTCAATATTTTGTGTGATTGGAATATGGCCTGCGAATTCATTTCGTTTCAGCGACCACAAATTCACCTACATCGAGCGCATCGGGCGCACTGGACGCGCCGGGAAACGCGGCCTTGCCACCACGTTTTTCGACGCGAATCTGGACCCGAGGTTCCGCAGCGCCTACACGGATGAACGGTCGGTGCTTTCTTAATAACGCGGGCGGGGGGGGGCGGAAAACTTAACTTAATATGGTTTTAGTATAATTGAAATATTTGTGGTATAAGCCGATTTTTGAGTAGAATTTTTGGTCGAAAAATCTATTTTTTTTGTGATTTTTAGTTAACCTTGATACTCCATTCAATAAAGTAAAGGTTTAAAACCGGGTTTGATACTTGACTTGTTCTATGATATTAGACTAATTCCTAATTGGATTCAAAGAAAACAATCAGGATTTTTCGTCAATTAAAAAACGCTTTCGAAATTAAAATTAATTAATTAACTCGTGAAAATAAACCGCTCGTTTCAATTCATAATTTTCAGGCTCTTCCAGCAGCACGTTTTTGCCGGCTGGCTGGCGGCTCTATTGACGCGCATGAGACAGGTATGGCCACTTTTCGTTACGAGATACACGAAGTTCTTTCGCATTATCGGGGGGGCCTTAGTTTTTATTTTAAAGCTTGTAAAAAGTAAGTTTTTTAGCAAACATTTAACTATTTCACGTGGGAAACTATCCAGAATTTTAAAAATATTTGAAATTTTGCTCCAAAATGGTAATTTTCGGTGAAAAAAATCCTTATTTTTTGTGTTTTTCATCAAAATTTGTACTGTTTCTACGTTGAGAAATTGTAAAGATGTGTAGAATTTAGAAACACAGACGCTGTTTCGAGTTCGGATTCTAAGGCCAAAAGCCCCCCGATAATGCAAAAGAACCTACGCGCCTGCCGGTGCGCCTTGTTGATGATGTTTTTCATTTCCAGAGGGTCCCCCAATTCATCCGCGAGACGGCCGAGGGCCGCGATCACCGCGGGCGCCTTATCGGGGATCTGCCGAGGGAACGAGTGGCCGAGCAGCTGGCCCGCGATCGCCTGGTGTTCGGTTTTGATGCTGCGGCCGGTGGGGACGACCAGTTCTAAGCAACCCTCTTTTGATTTCACTACTTTTCGGTTCTTTCGCATTATCGGGGGGGGGGTTGTATTAATCTAGAAATTCCTATGTATTTTTAGTTATCTAAACTTATTTAGATGTTTTATCTATTTATATAGTCTTTTCACGATGTTTTAGTGAAAAAACTACACTTTAACTAGAAATCCTGTCCAAAAAATTTTTTTGAAAAGTCGAAATTTTTCTAAAAAATCGATATTTTTGTGTTCTTTAATACCATTTTGCAAAGTTTTACGTTTAGGAATAGTGAAAAATTTGTTGGAAACACCTCCGCGATTTGTGTTTGAAAAAGTGATTCCTTTAAAAAATATTTGCTCCCCCCCTGATAATGCGCAAGAGCCTCTTTTCAAATATTTTTTCACTTATTTTATTCCGCTTTTGCCTTGGCTTCTGATCTGTAATGTTTAACGATTGTGACCTTATCATACATATTTTCTGAGGCCTAATTATTTCTGTTTGTCTATGGTCGGAATAAAAATTGTTGATTGATGTCGTTGTGCATTTTGTTTGTACGAATTTTCGGTGTTTTTGTACTTAACCTGCCTAATGCCAGCTTCTGGCGCGTTTTGTGGTGCGTATACTAAGTAGCAAAAGTGTTTAGAACCTAATTCAGAAGTTTTAGGGCTGAAAAAAATAAAAATTGAGGGTATTTTTGGTCACTTTATGGTTGTTTCGCATTATCAGGAGAAGCCTAACTTTTCCCGCAAGTCCAGAAATATCTACATATTAGCGTGATAGTAATTGCTTTAATCGTTTTCCCAGGGAAATTTAACTATATTTCAAAGGTGAAGACTATTTTGGAAAAATTGGTCTGGAGCATGGACTGATGAGTTCTGCTAAAGCCGCATCTCGATTACGGGCGAAACATTCGCTTTCCTGCCCAATCGCTCGGAAACGCGCCCGGGAAGCTGTGTGGCTGTCAAAACGATCATAACAAAATGCTACTCCTGGTTCTTGCGCTTCAATATCTCGTAGCTGATGCGATAATTGTAGGGATTTGATAATTACTTATAAGGGCAGAAAAATGAATTTTTCATGAGAATTAAATATCAAAATTAGTAATAAGTAACTGGTTTTTTAGCCAAAATCTCGAACGTCCATTTATAAACTCTTGTTGTAAAATATTATACGCTTAGACAAAACATTGTTCCGCAACTTTCCAGCAAACTGACCCTCATCTACCCCTACAATTTGCCGGTAAGTTACGGTGGGCTGGCCCGGTTGCACGCGAATCCCTTTCTCGATGAGGTACGTTTTTAACTTGTTCTGTTATTTAATTTAATTTTCATTTATTATAAAATTTACAATGATTAAAGAAGTTATTAAGCTAGTAAAATTTTTATTTTAATGTTTTTATGATTTTAGACACCGACAAATGATTGGGATCGCCGCAAGGACGATGATGGGATGCCGAATTTTTGGGATGTAAGTGTAATATGATACATTGAATTTTTGCCACTTTTAAAATTACTTTATTTGAAATTATTTAAGTAAACGGAATTTTTGTATTATCGGGGTTGGCGCAATTTGGCTTTTGAGCTTTTGTAAAATCTAACGATATTTCAGGGGTAAAATCTATCGAAAAGCTTTAGGAATACGAAATTTTGGCTCGAAAGTCGGCCTTTTTGGCTCCACAAACAAATATTAAGGTATGTTCAATAACAATTTGTAAAGTTTTTGGGGTTTGAAATAGTAAAAACAGCTTAGGAATATCGCCTCGATTTCTATAAGAAAAAATGAACACCAGGACAATCGGTAAAACAGTGACTCCCCCCTCCGATAATGCAAAAGCACCAAAAAATTATGAATTTAAGTAATAAAGTCCAATTTAGGTGTTAGATTTGGGAAAGCGGTCCCGCGACGGCGGCAGCGCAATCGCCAAGTTATTTGCCGATTTTACGGACCCGAAAAAATCGATGGCCGACGTGTTTATTGGGTCGGGCTTGTAACATGAATTTTTTAGGCCGTATCCAAGTCATCATTTTTGCGATTTTATGCCATTTAAATGGCTTGAAGTCCCATAAATCTTTATGCAAATCTCCAAAATACAAGAATTTAATAAATCTCGAGGAGCATCATGGTATCACAAAATCGGGGGCGGCGCCAAAGTGAATTTTCGGAATTATGCTATTATTTTTTGTAAATGCATGGTAAGTGAATGGGGCAGGGAGGAGAATGATGAGCAAAATACATATAATTAAAACTGGATTAAAATCAAATTATTAATAATGAAAAAGAGAACGACAAACTAAATTACTGGCCTGCGACAAGGCAACAAATGGAAAGGACAAGATTAATATTTTCCACAAAAAAGAAAATGATGTACTTCGATGAAACATTGATATTGTACACGGGTAGTTTCGCTAATTTTAGGAAGAAAAGATAAAAAAAAATCCAACAGACGCAGGAAAATAGAAATTAGAAATGAAAACGACATTAGATCTAGCTGAAACATCAAATATATAAATCGAAAGTTGAATATTTCGTTCTTTGGCGTTATCGGGGGGGGGACTATTTTTTCGGAGGCAAAAATGCCTACTAATGTAATAATATAGCATCTTAATACTAATAGTAAATTTTGGTCGTCATTTTTTGTATTTAAATAAAAAATTTTTGCGTTTTTTTTGCGTCTTGGAGCAATCAAAAACAGAGCCGAAAAAATTGTTTTTGAAAAACAATTTGTCTACTTATATAGAAAATTGGAGCCTAAGGAAAAAATTGTTCCCCTTGATAATGCTAAAGTACCAAAAATTTTGAGATTTCTTTCGACCAAAAATTTTTGATTAACTTGTAGTCTAATACCTATCCGTATATTGGTCATAATCGTAGTCGCGAGAGGAATTGGGTACTGTATTGTCATCTGGAGTGTCACGGAATCCGAGATTTTCCTCGAATTCGTACCGTTGCTCCACTGGCGAGCGGGATTTTGGAGAGTCGAAGCGTTCTAACAGTTCTGGCGTCGGGATTCGAGCTCTGCAATTTTGAAATATATATTTTTCAAAGCTTCTAAAACTTTAAAAAATATATAGCATTTGTTTTCAATTTATATCATTAGTACGGTGGCGGAGAGAAATTAGGAGCGTGGCAAAATTCAAGCTTTACCTGTTAAATTTAAATTTTCAGTAGAATCTTTATTATTTAATTGCCGAAGAATTCCTATTTTAAAAAACATAAATTACGTTAAATATATAAATGCTTTAAATACTTAAAGCAATTAAAAATGAAATTATAATAAAATTATATAAGCTGCTTTTTAATTGAATTAATTTTGTCGCGTCAAAAGTTGTTTAATTCCTTTAATCAATTTTTTATTAATGTAGAAATTGAATTAACACCAAAAAGGTAATTTCTTTAACGTAACAAAGTGCCGAAATAAAGTTTGCTAATATTACAGTTAAATCGAAAAACGTGTTTTTGAACCTATGTGAAACGTTTTTAATTCAGCAAAAAAAAATTGTGAATCCAGGAAATCAATCAGGCTTAAAATTGCCATCCATAGTAAAAAAAAATAGCTGAAACTCATTTTACAAAATTATAAAAGTTTGAAATTTTGCTCTAAAAACCGAACAAAGTGTTCAGAACAAACCCTATAATTAAAAAAAAAAATATCAATCAATAATTATTTATAATCATAAAAAAAAAAATTATAATATTAAAAAATGGATAAAAGAGTTGGGTGAAAACTCTAGAAATATTTTGGAAATAACTCAACTCGAAGGCTGGATTATTACAATTTTCATACAAACAAGTTTGAAAAATTTTGAAACCTATTTTTTCACACATAACATTTTAAAGGGCCGTTGAAGCGTTCGGGGGTTGGGGGATGGCATACCTGTGCGGGGTTACCTTGTCCTTTGCTCGGCCCGCTTTTCCGAGTCTGTGCTCGTGGCGCTGTCTTCATCATCGTCATGGTGGCCCGGGGTCACCGGGATTAGGTGGGCGGCCAGCCCTTCCTCATCTACCAACGTCTTGACCCGGCGCCCCCGGCGTTGTCTAGACGTTCGCAAAATGGAATTGCCTCTTCTCTCTCTCTCTCTCTCTCCTTCCCCTCTCTCTCTCTTTGTGCACATTTTTACAAAATTATTAATTTTTTAGATGACGAGGACTTGCACTTGAAAAACGTATCACGAATAGTTGAAGTATCGTGCGAAGACCATCGAAATTTTTGCAACATAAATTTTCATCAGAAATGTCCGGTTTTTCAGATTGCACGTTAAAATTTGTCTATCAATTTCAATTAAATTACTTGTTATGCACTTACAACCTTCACAATCCCCTTAAAACTATCGCCACCCTGCCCCTACCTTAAATTCAGATTTTTCTGATTTTGTTCTTCCGGGTCGACGGAGCTCTCCGGGTCCGATTCCAGCATCTAAAATTTGTTTGGTAATGAAATTGGTATAATTATATTAGAAGCATCGTCAAACAAATTGCGAATATAAATCAAATCCAAAATAAATCTGATTTCCCCCGCCTTCTGTTCGATTCCGTAGAATTCTTTCCACAGGGCCAGCACCAAATCGGTCGTGAAGATGACACCGGCGTGCGAGGATACCTAAATTCTGATTTAAACGCGCCGATTAAATTAAACAATTTAGAAAATGGAAATTATTTAATGGCATGCTTCGCATATGGAAAAAAGATTAAATCACAAGACAAATACTACATAGAGCATTATTATCGGTTACCCGCGCTCATTTAATCTATTTGATTCTAGCAACATATTTTTGCTATAGGAAACCTAAAATTTCACGAAACTTAATTTGCCGATTAAATTAAATACCATGCTTCAGAATTTTTTTTAAGGGTTTATTGGTTTTACGGTATGGTTATTTTTGGCAAACAAGAATTTCTAGCTGAATTAGTCACACACAGAGTGTCTAACCAATTGATTTTGAAACCCTATTTTGGTAATGAGGTTTTTCGAAAGTAAAATGTAGTTGTTAATAGCGTATAAATCACATACCATTCTCAGGACAAAGACCCCATCGCGATGGAGGTAGCCGTGGACAAATTTGTAGAGATCATCTCGGCATTCTGGAAAAGAGATGTTTCGAAAATGTCGGGTTTTAGGGAAAGAGACGATGGGTTAATACAAATTTTGCTACGCTTAGAGAGACATAAAGGGCGAGAGAGAGAGCGAGAGAGAGCGAGAGTGAGAATGAGAGAGAGAGAGAGAAGGCGGGAGAGAGAGGGAGAGAGAGAGAGTGGCATAGTGAGAGAGAGGGCGTTGGAAGAGCGTGTGTGAGAAAGATATTTGCGATCATAATGCCGAAATTTCACGATGTCGAAACTTCGATATTTTTTGGGATGATTTGTTCCGGGAGATTTGTGTATCAAAATTAAGAAATTACGAAATTTCGGCATTCTAAAATGTCGACATTATGATTTTCGGCATTTCGAAAGTAATCGGATTTTACAGTTCCTCTCAGTAATCCTACAAAAAAAATGTTTTGCAACTTACAGCATACGAAAATTAAAAGAAATATATAATGATACGACCAAACCCTCCTCACTTTTCGTTCTCGCCGAATACCCTCCCAGGCTGCTCAGCTCAAGGTGCTGGCCGACGAACCATCGCGAGAAACAGGGGAACGATAGCAATATCACCCAATAGAGCACGGTAAATAGCGAGGCAGACAGAAGGAGCAGATACCTAAATCCATAAATAAATTGGACAATATTAATTTATTTTTTACAGCTGATTTTCACGAATTGTAACGAATTTTCGATTGGGTATTGGCTCAATAATAATCGCCAAATTTTTGGAGATTTTTGAAACATTTTTCTGAACAACAGGAGCGCTGTAGTCACGAGTGATAATCCCGACCCGAACTGCGGGATTTACCTTTTTTTGCTGAAACATCATAATTTTCCTGATTCCGAAATTGGAAAATTATGAAATCAACTTAACTTTCAAATTTCCATTCAGATTTTGTAAGTCGACATTTGAAAAATAACTTTTTTAATCATGTACGGTTAAACAGTAAATTTAACTCTGCAAAAAGACTAGCTCACTCAAAAAAAATCGAATAAAACCTCACCAGAACCAGAGGAGGATGAAGATTTTCTCGGTAAAAATGTTGATCACCAGCACGCATTGGACAGAGTATTTTTGGATGTTGGCCACTTGACGCACCTGAAAAAAATTGTGTGTTTCGTCGAACGGTGGTTTGCTTCGCCTGCGACTATCTTTAATGCTCAAAGACGATGCCTCCGAGTCCCTCAACAATCTCGCTAGCCTGCCTCCTCTTCCCTCAACAATCTCTGCTAGCCTGCCCTCTCCTCTTCCTCAACAATCTTCGCCAGCTTGCCCCTCTCCTCTCTTCCTCAAAAAAAAAAAAAACAATCTCTGCTAGCATACCTACCGTAAAATCGCAGACAGATGTCCTCGGGAAATATCCGCTTGTCTCCCACCGTACACCCGTAATCACATCGTACAGCACGTCGATACCGTACATTCCATACCGATCCGTTTTCAGGAAGCTAAATTTAGAAATGTTTGGAAAAAATGTTTCGGGCCGAGAGAGCCTCTTTCTTGACCGGATCATAAACAGTTCGAGGAGGTCGGTCAGAATTCATAATAAAAATTCCCCACTAATTCATGAGCCACAGCTGCAGCAGGCAGTTGCCGAGGTAGATGACCTTGGTGAACATGTAGACGACCGAGATGTAGCTCGAGGAATATTGGAAGTTTAGGCAGGAGAACGTGCGATGGATTACCACCTGGAAAATGGTACAATAATGTGATGGGAATCGAGGCGATCCTCCCTCTCGCTCTCTCGCTCTCTCGCTCTCTCTCTCTCTTTCTCTTTCTCTCTCTCGCTCCCACACACTCTTACTCTTTATCACTCTCTCTCGCTACTCCTCTATCGCCATCCTCGCTCTCTCTCGCCCTTTCTGTCGCTGCTCTCACTCTCCTCGTTCGTCCTGTCTCTCTTTCTCTCGCTCTCTCTCACTCTCTCACGCTCTAAAATAATTAAAAATAAATAAAGTGGTTTCATTCATTTGACGAAGAACCGGACTTATAAAAATCTTCCCCACTAAGTCCCGTTCCTCACCGAAACCCACATTTTTCTTCTCCATCCGCCGCTGGAATCGAAGTGCCTTTTTGAGATGTTTCTCCAGCACTACGACATTTTGTTCTCGTACAGTCTCGTCAACATTCCCGGTGTCCATCGCCTTTTCGACGACCTCGTGGATGCGGATGCCTGGATTTAATGAAATTTATTTGTAAAAAATCAAAACATATTAAAATTTCCCAGGGGCATTGCCCCATTAATGGCCATGTTTTTGCTAGAAAATGTTTCACTTTTTACCCGAAAAATGTTCTTAGTGCGCATTGCCGCTTAATGTGCAATCCACTTTTTCAACGTAACAAACCATGTAAAAATAATCCATGTAATTCATTAATTTTGTTGTTAACTTTGAAAAATTTTTCCTTTTCTGATTTTGTTATGAAGACACTTTAAACCGGTAATTACGCCTAAATCTCAGTAATGAAAGAAATAAGAAGAAAGGATCGCTTGAGAAAAAATATCTTTCGCTGCTCGGCACTAAAGAATCTTTACAGACCACGTCCGTTACTTGATGAATGCCTCTCCCAATACGAGTTTCATAAACAAATTTAATCTGTGAAATTTCCAACACTCAGAATTCAGAATCGGGAGCCCTTTTTAAAAGTGTTTCTGTTTTTTTTATGTTTGTGATCATCGCCGTGTATCGTATTCAAGCTGTTTCCCAATAAAAAAAACCCCCCCGACAATAAGCGGGGTTTAGAAATCCGGCACCCCTAAGAAAATACAACATTCGCTCAATTCAATAGAATACTTTAATGATTCAGAGGCTATTATTAAAGAAATCAGCACCATTTTACGGAAAAATGTGTTTCTTTGCCTGACCAGCCTAGAATTTTGTGATCATCGCCAGTGTATCGTAGTCAAGCTATTTTTTTCCAATTCCGATTTAGAAAATTCATAAAAAGTTGAATTTTTTTAATAAAAATGCAGTATAGCGTAAATACAAATTAAGACTCGAAACGAAACGAACAACAAACGAATACAAAAGAAATATCGATAAAAAAATAAGCAGCGTTTAGAAATCCTGCACACTAAGAAAAATATGTTTCGGTATCCAACGATTAAAAAAATTTTTTCGTGACGCTGCAATACTTCGAGTGGTGTTGTTGTGCTTTGATTCGTTTAGATAATGTCATCATTATTCAATAGAATACTTCTATTGATTCAGAGGCTGAATTTTAAATAGAAAATCAGTACCATTTTACGAAAAAATCGCAATCGGCCAATTGAACAAAGAAATAATTCAAATTTTAATGGGGTTTAAAAAACCGGCACTCTTAGGAAAGTATGTTTCATCATCCGAGGCTTAAAAATATTTTTGGGATGGTGCAATTGGGTATAATTTTTTCCCTTACTTAATTCAATTTAATATATTTTCCTTACTCTTTAACCTATTTTCTTTTAATCACTAAATCCAACCCACCCGAATGGTTAGACACGTATTTCCACATTAGACTTGGGGCCCGAAAAAACGCGGCTTGGAGCAGCAGGAAGAATGGGACCCATTGGTAGTAGGAGAGCTGGCGCGTGTGCGATGACCTCAAAATCGGGATATAAGGCTGCAAAACAATAAGTATCAAGACAAGAAAATGCAGTTCAACGCAGTTGAATTTTGTCGGAAAAATAAGTTTCATCAAAAATTTGTATTAGCCGCAGCTGATATGGGTTAATGCACGTAGAAGATATTTTCTTACACTAAATTTTAGGACTTGTCAAATATCGTGAGGTATTGGATAGAATTCGTGTTTGCCAAATTAAATTCAACGGCATTACTTCGTTATAGAATACAGATAAAGTTGGGTATAAATTGCGATGGAAAAATTTCGAGGTTTCACGTATTTGTAAAGTTTCCTGACAGTTTGAGACCCTAATTCAATGAGAAAATACCGGTTCTAATTAATAATCAGCAGTATATTTGCTGAATTAAATCTTATTGTAGTTCATTGTAAAGTACCCTCTAAAATCCCTTACCGTTCCTCTAGGGTCATCTGCTCGACGTGCTTGTCGGGCTCGACGAAATACGTGTCCTGGGACCAGCAGTAGTTCTCGGCGTACTGGAACAAAGTGATAAACCCACAACGTGATCGAATTAAAAGACTCAGAAATTACGGTGCAAGGAAAATTTGTAAAACATTTTTTTCAATAGAAAAACTAACATGAAAAATTAAAATATTAAAATAAAGTGTTTCATACTATTTAGAAAATCTTTCACTTTTGTTAATTTTATTTGTAATGAGCTAGCAAAGCGTACATTTTTTTTTTTAAAAATTGCGTGTTTCGTGTAGTTATGTACCTTCCAGAATTAATCATCGACCGTGAGCGCCAAAATCGGTGTGATATTGAAACATATTTAATTGAAAAGTGAATGATCAGCTATTTTTCTAAATGAAAAATAGCATTTTTTAATTTAGAAAATTGGTGATTAAAAACTTATATAATTTTGGTGATTTAAACTTTTGCAATTAAGGATGGTATCGCCTCAAGTAACGAGCTCTATAAAAACCTTACCAAAATTAAAAAAACGTCGGATTTTTGCTGCCGGAGAGCATCATGTTTTTCATGATTTCAAGAACGATTAAACAAATTAAATTTAGCCAAAAAGACTTCAATTACAGTAGGAATAAAATCTCGCTATTAGGTAAAAATTCACTCATCCATCGATTCACGTGTTACTAATTTAGGTAATTAAAATTTGTATGAAAACATTTATGAAAAATTTTCAAGTTTGAACAGCTGTTAAGCTTATTTGTAGATACTTATTTGATTGTATTTATCGCGATATAGAAATTAAATGATTTAAGAACCAAACAAAATAACTATAAAAGCATTATCGGGGGGTGAGCTTTTTTGTACAACCCTAGAAATGCCTATTAACCTAACCGTAAGTATTTTAACAGTATTTTTAGTAAAAACATTTTTACAAAATAGAAAAACAATTTTTAGTCTAAAACGGCCATTTTTCTTCGAAAAATCGATATTTTTGTATTTTTCCATAAAAATTTGCAACAACTGTTCAAAGTTGATCCCCCGATAATGCAAAAGCACCTTAAAACGACACTCACCTGCTCCCAAGACCCGGGAAATTTGTTGGGGAACATGCACTCGATGGGGCGACCGCCGAACTGCTTGAACGAGACGAGAATCGAGAAGGCGAGCAGAATATTCGGGGTGTAGAGATAGTGCATCCGATCGGACCAGTCGTCGTCGTTTCGCGGTGATAGATACCGGGCCATGCCCAGGAACGTCTCGATGAACACCATTTTCGAGGCGTTTTTCTGGTGATGTGTTTCACTAATAAATTACTTTAATCGGTTCGTTTTGCACTTTAATGCAAACAGCAAGATGATGAGAAACCCAAGAGAAGCAAGCAAATTGAGAAAATCTTTGAATTTGACCAAATTTCTTGGATGCGTTTCACTGAAATAGTATTGCAATTTCTTTAAATTACTTTACTTAAAAAGCGAAGCCAAGTCGGGAAAGAGAATAAGAAAAAAAGAATAAAAATAAAACAAATACTAGAAAAATAAAAAAAGATGCAAAAACAAAATGATGGTCTTGGAACCACGCTTACGATTTCAAGACTACTATTTACATCAGGATTAGACCTAATTATCGAGGAATATTTTTATTCTTTGAGTGAAACATACAACCTTGTAAATTAAATTAAAACCGGTTTGTGGAGTTTGAGCGTGAGCGTGAGCATTAATAAATCATAATTAAACTAATTTTCCGGTACAAGCCCAGTTTTCCAATAAAACGCAATGAAAACCGCCAAACGATCGATAGCCTAATAAAAATCGCAAAAAGTCTCGCTATAGGTTTTAACATGAAACATCGAAATTCGCGAGCGTGACCGGGTGAAAACGATTACGCTATGAAATGGGTGGCGCGGCCGAGTTGCTTGTCGCAGGCTCCGTAAATTGCAAGGAAATCGTCTCAGAAACGGACACATAATGAAAGTTTTGGCAAGGTGATCTCATGTTTTTTAACATGAAACATCAAATTCTTGGGCGCGATCAGCTGGGCGCGATAGGAAAAACGCTACGAGGGCCTGGCGGACGAAGGGCTGGCGCGGCGTCTGCGTTGCGTAGCGCGGATCAGGATATCATAAGAAGCTAGAAAGGACTTGTCGTCCCTTGCCCGGTCCGGCACCCCGACTTGGACCCGGTCCTCTTTCACTTCCGACGGACATAAACTATACCAAATTCCAGCCCTAAGGCTAAAATTCAAAGGGCTGCGTTTGGGGGGGGGGGGGGGGGGGGGGGGGGGGGGGGGGGGGGGGGGGGGGGGAAAAAAATTAAACGCTCGGCCGGAACGCGATAACCATAAATAGATGAAACATGGAATTTTTTCACTTAAAAATGTTTCACAATTTAAAACATAGTTTGAAATACTTTTTTGTTTAATGGAGTATCGCGCTGCGGATATCGCATTGCGCAACGTGTTTACGCAAATAATATGCGCTTTTTGGTGGTGGGATTGCGACAGCTGTGGCAGCGCCTATTCACACCCCCAGCCGCCCCGCGAAAATTGAGGCAAATGACACGTGAATGCGCTATTTTGATCGCTAGTCGAGTGTATTCAATATTAATACCCGTAAAAAAATATTCCGGCATTGTACCCCCCCCCCCCCTTTTTTTTTTTTTTTTTTTTTTTTTTTTTTATAAATCCTCGCAGGCTTTACGTATACAATTTAACAGAGAGGCAAGATGGAGCATTTTTTATGCCTGTCTGAGTCTAAAGGTTATTAAAAAAAACCTGAAAAATCATTTGGTCACGAGAATTTATGAAACGTCGATTTTTATAAAAACGAACTTTTGTTTGGACGACGTTTTAAAATAGATCATTTGACCTTATTTAGCACATATTGACAAAGAATAATTTTGTAAATGTATCAAACGTTTCCAGATCGGCAGCAATAGGGGAAGCAAAAACGTTTTTTTATTGAACAAGCTTTGAAACATGGGTTTTTATGGATCGGCGAGGACAGGTTAATTTTTACAAGGCGGAGTAGGAACATGTTTGTTGTTGTTGTGTTTCAAATTACTATTGGGAATATAGGCAAAGGCATTTATAACACTTAATGGACACTTTATTTGCCTAAAATTAAAAATTTGTTGCTCTCGAACATTTTTTGAAACTATAATTTTTATAGTGATCTAGAATATTTTGTATGAATAAATTGTAATGTTTACAATCATATTTAGACTAATGGATACGCGCTAGTTGGTAAGTAAGCCCAAATACATAATCTTTAACTCTGCGCAGTGCTAAATTATTTTAGTAGAAAAATATTGCTGAACACAACAACGAACAGGAGAAATGGATCGACATTCCCATTCCTTGACAGACCCAAAAATTTGAAACATTTATCTCATCAAAAATGAGCGATTTTGTGATGGGTTGGACAGAGGGGAGAGAGAGAGAGAGAGAGAGAGAGAGAGAGAGAATCAGGGAAAACAGCGCGCTGCGGTGCCCATCACATCCCATCACACAGGTTGTTGTTGGTGTTTTTGCACTCAACCTGGCGAAAATTGGCCCCACCGCACGTGAGCCTCAGCCTCCCCATAAAAATGGATACAATTTTGAGAAGGGTTTTAAAAACAAAAAAAACTGGTGTTATGAACCCAGATTGCAATGCTGGGAATTTTAGGTTTTTAAGGGTCGAGGACATATTTGCTCCAGAGGGTTTTGAAAAAAAGATGTTTCAGCAATTAGATTGTCAAATTTGACGCAATTAACTCTAGTGCTGAGGCCCAAAAGTGCAGGTAAATAATCTAGAATAATCAATGAAAGTAACGAAAGAAATTATAACGATACCAGCGGGGGAGGAGCCGCTTCGCGACTCTCCCCCGCTGGACCCCGTCTAGGCCCTATGAATCGAGCGCCCTTACACATAAAGTTACCCTGAAGAAAGAAAAACACATCTCCCATGCAAACCTCTTTGTATTCTCATTCGGTGCAAGCTTAAATTGCTAGTGTCGTTATTAGGCCTGCGGCGCAGGTCCTCATCCAGCGGCGCCGGCTCGAGCGGTTTGTCTCGAGATAAAGCCTGTCGCAAGCTTGAGCGGTGACCCCTTCTTTAGCCTGCGGCGCTAGCTTGAGCGGCTGGCTTCGTTCTAAAGCCTGCGGCGCTAGCTTGAGCGGCTGGCTTCGTTCTAAAGCCTGCGGCGCTAGCTTGGGCGGCTAGCTTCGTTCTAAAGCCTGCGGCGCTAGCTTGTGCGGCTAGCTTCGTTCTAAAGCCTGCGGCGCTAGCTTGAGCGGCTAGCTTCGTTCTGAAGCCTGCGGCGCTAGCTTGAGCGGCTAGCTTGATTCCTTGGCCTGCAGCGCATGCTTGAGCGGGTAGCTTCATTCTATAGGCTGCGGCTTGAGTGACTAACTTCATAATAACGTCCTTACACGGAAATCCACTCCGAAACGCGCTTTCCGAGCAAAAAGCAAAACAACTAAAATGTCCGAGGATCGAACCTCCGATGGTTAGATTAGCACGGCGAAACGCTAACCACTACACCATGCAATGCTTGGTAGCACGCGCCAAACACCCGTTTTATGCCTCAAGAGGACTGCCCGGGGCAGGGGAAGGAAAGGCATCGAGAGGCAGATCCAAAGAGACGACCAAACTCGCGAGTCCAACTGGCAAGAATGAGGAAATTTGTATTTTTTTCACATTATGCAAATTAGCCCTCCCGGACCCCCAAAAATCAATAAAACCGGCTTTAACTTTGTTAACTTGTATTTTATCGGGATTCTGAAAGCGCCATCGGAAAGAGGAGGGTCGATTCCCCCGGGTGACGGAGAATTAAGGCATTTTATGCACGGGAAGGCCCTCAAATCGGGCCTCGAAAGTGACGGCCGGACACACACACAGACAAAGATACGCGACCAAATTATATAAGGTAGGATAAATAACACCTCATTTAATTACAATTATTTAATGCGATAGTGGATTTGTCAATAGAAAAGAAAATGAATCCGAAAAAAGGAATGTTTTACCAATCAAGCAAGTGCTTCGAGACAGTGATTATCCAATCCTGAGAGCGGAAAAGACTAATTCTGTCCGAATTATTAGTTTCTCCAATATGTTATAATTAATAACACTCATATATTAGCACCTATAATAAAGCTCTTTTATCATAAATTGTTAAACTTTTATGATTTATATGTTTATATATTTATTATAAATTGTATTTCGCCGCGCGCAAAAATTGGTTTTAAGTAACAGCAAACCTCTAAACTTGTTTCAGGTAATTTCAAGGTGGGACAAACCCGAGAAACAGAAAAGAAAGTCTAAAATTCGAAAATTGACAAGTTTGGGACTTTGACGGCCGCCTTAATTGCAAAAAAATGTGTTTTAACAAAGCACCAAATCAACGTAACCTATTTTCGGCCAGTTTGCGCGCACTATCTCGGTTGCAATATTTTTTTTCAAAATCGTTTTGAGGTTTATTTGGAGGTATTCACTGATCTAAAAGCTAATTTTTACACAGTTTTCATGTTAAAAACGGACAATAAACTACATTAAAGCCCTGGCAGTTCGCCAAAAGCGAGGTCAATGCTCTACACACAGCCTGGGCCGTTTGAGTCTGGCGGTATAATGGGCGTCAGTTGTCACCAACAAAAATTGGGGGAGGCGGGGCGGAAGCGCGCTTTTAAGCATGGGGTGGAGGATCACCGCCGCGCGAATTGGCATCAAAAACTAGCAATTATACCGTGAAAAGATTTTTTTTAATCCTAAAAATTGGATGATGAATCTGAAAATTACGATGAAAATGTGCGACCAAAGCTGTATAAAATTTGTATAGAAGGATTCCATGTAAAATCTGGCGTAAAAAATGAATAAACAATAGACAAACCTGAAATTTAAAATAAATGGAAATTGAAAAACGTAAACTTTTACAGTAAATCCTTAAAATTTGCTTCTAAAAATGTTAGATAGCTTTCGCGAACAAAAAGGCTAAGAAAAACAATGAAGAAAATTAAATAAAATAGGATCCACTATTTCGAAGGCCGAACCTTAAAACTTAAACTAACAAAACAAACCCATAACGAATTTTCAGGTAAAAATTAAATGTTTCAAAAAGGTAGAAATATCGGAAAAATTTTGTGAGGAATTATGAACGGAAAAATAATCATTCTGAATGAAAGAACGTAAATCAATAGGAATACAAGTTTCTTCGAAGTGAAAACCCCCCCCCCACAAAGACTGTCTGAATTCTTTATTTTAAAAGATAAGAGGACAATTTTTACAAAAAGTCAGAAA